AGTGCTTCACCACAAAAATTTGGTTTTCAAGAAAAAAAAATGGCATGTTCTTAAAGAGGAGGGTTAGAGGAACAAGTTTTGTGAATGGTGTTTGGTGGAGTTTTGGTTGTGGAAAGCTAGAGAGAAGGAAGAGAAAAGCTTGAGGTTCAAAAATGGTGGAGAGAGAGAGAGAGAGAGAAAGTGGCGTTGGAAATTCTGAATGGAGGGTGCCTTAGTCTTTTAGGGTTTTGACCAAGTTACTTAAGTGACTTTTTGCCCTTTAGTGCCACCCAGTGTAATTTTTATCTGAACTGTTATATATTTTTTCACCCGAAACCTCCAAGACTCAAACTTTAAGTAATTAATATTAAGTTTGTCTAATTATCATGTTCCTAACATAAAAGTTTGATTAGTAGATCACAGATCCACCAACTGCTGTTTAATTGCATTGTAGTCTTTACCGGGGTTCTCAACTGTACCTGGACTTTATAATTTTCTTAACTTTAACATTATTGGTCTAATTATGATTTGTTATGCATATATTGATTGGTCTTTCTTTCTATTTTCTCATCTTTTTCCTGTTCTGAGATTCTACCGGTTGTTCCAACAACAGTACAAAATACCCGGCAGAAGTAACTTTTTCAAAATACCCCAATATGGGTATTAAACTGCATCAAATCATATACTAACCTCATCTATGATAATCATATTATCAAAATAACTCTCTAACTCAAATTTGCTAAATTGGAGCTATTCTACTAACTATTATTGCGTCAGCAGTCAAAAATAACTGATGAAAATTCACTTGTTTAGAATACTATCAATATGGATATCAAAGTTCTTAGAATTTCATCCTCATTCCATTTATATCCCTAAGGTCTTCATAATAATCCCCTAATTTCGAAATTATAAAATTAGGGTTATTATAGCACACAACATACATACATATACATGCAACATATAACAAATTATTTTCAACATACCATATCAAACTACCACCCTCCCTCGGAGTTTGGTGGGACAAACGAGGGATTAACCCCAAGAACCGAAAGCTTACCTGGAATAGCTCTTTTTCTAGTCTCTTCCATGTCAAAGGTCCGCAAGCCAACATAATGCTTAACAAATGAACAACACACCTATCCATGGTGAATTTATCACAATTAAACATATATCCATTTCATATAAGTTTCACATCAAACCATTGTTTGATACTTACCTCAATCTCAAGTAATCAAGAGCCTTGCTCAATGTCTATGCTCTTGCTCCACAAGTCAACTTGGTCTCACACTATAACCGATGAACAGATTTACATCATTATCCATCATCAATTCATATATACGGTATTGTTCATCTCTATAGTACTATTCACGTATCATGTATACGAAACTATTCAAAAATACTGTATCTTTAATTTTTCCAAATACATTTTCACTGTTAAAATTCTCATTTAAACAATTTTCTCAACATGAGCTAAGCCTCAATCAAGCTCTAACATGCTCATTCAAGCCAAACTTTCAAAATGAAAACCTAAATTCAATCTTTCTTAAAACTCAAAGAAAATTAGGATTTCTTAACATAAACTTACCTAGAATCACCCAATGAGTGAATTTCTAACCTCAAATGAGATCAAAATACCTTCTTGGACCTTTAGTCAACAAAAGGGCGCCACTTTCCCTTCCATTTTTCTCTCAATACAAGGTTTATGATAGATTATGGATTAGGGGTTGTGTTTATCTCCCAATTCTAAGCAACTTTGCTTTTTACCTCATTTGATTTCATCAAGAAATGAAGAAGTTGCAATTTAAGCATCCTTCCATTGGCTACGAGTTCGATGCACAGAGAAGAAAGAAAGAACGAGGCGCACGCGAGGAGAGAAAGGAAATGAAGCACTGTTTCTAAACTTAAGTATTCAAGTTACTTTAATTGGGTAAAAGCTTATCTATCTACGCACATAAGTTCACTACCAAACTTTACCCGATGGACTAGAATATTTTTCTAGTCACGTTTCTATTTTTACTCTCACTTTTTGGATAACTTTATTTACCTATATTTTTACCCCTTAACTGCCATTTTAACTCTTTTCACCAAAGGTGACTTTATTTCTTTTTCTTCTACTTTTCTTATAATTATTCTTCAATATCATGATTAAAATCATTAATTCATAATTAAATCCAACACTACATGTGAGGGTTATTATAATTGTGGTCTGGATTGGATCAGTTTTAGAAGCAAAAATTATTCAATCCAATTCCTTCGGATCGATCATATAATTATCCATTTAGTTTGAATTTATTTTCAAATCTGATCTAATTCAATTCAATTTTATTCGGTTTGGATTGGATTGGTTTTCGGTATTTTAAAAACCTAAAATTTCTATGATGATTATTGTGTAAATAACATATATTTTGTATGTATTGGCTTTGTAAAGTTTGTATGATGCTTATTATGCAATCTAGAAGTATCAATAATCGATAATCTAATTTTCAATATAGTACAACAAAAAGTTGAATTACTATTTTTTACCTCTAACAAAAAAATTACAATGTGGTTGCTTGAGATACGGAGTAACCAAAAATTTTATCCTACAAAGGAGCTATTGTACAACAATAACCCATGCAATAAAAAAATATGATGTATCTTATAAAAAAAAAGCATAACATAGATCAAGTACAACCCACTTTCTCCAACATGATGAGTTAATGTGTCTTGAGTTTAGAAATTCAGTATATGGTTTTTGGGATATGATTAGTGAAAGGCCTAAGTAGATAGAGTGTAGGGTTGGGAAATCATTGGATTGGATTGATTTTTACCAACCAAATCGAAAATCGATCTAATCTAATTAAATTTTGTAATTTTTATTCGATTTTCGATTTTTCAATTTTTGGTTAATTCGATTATCGATTTTGCGGTTCGGTCATCGCAGTTTGAATCGATTGCGATCGGTTAATAAACATGTTATTTGTTCTTTAATTGTAGAGCAGTTTGATTATGGATAACCAATTATTTTTTTAGTATGGTAAATAATCAGTTTATAAAATAAAATGCAGTTTTATATGAAACCAGTTTTTAAAAATAACCGGTTCTTAAAATGTGGAGCAGTTTAGTTATGGATCTGTTTGGTTTTTTTGGACATGTTGAACACCCCTAGCTTGAACTATATCAAATATTATAATAAAGCTGCTAGCACAATATTTGTTCCCTTCAAGGAGTCTTTAATGAGGGTCCAAATTTGGCACAACTTTTACTCTTTGAACTTAATTGTGCTGTATATGATAGACTTGTAATTATGATTTTGAACATATGTTTTAAACCTTGATTGTTTAATTATGTTTTGACTCCTTGAACATAATTGTGTTATATCTCCAAAAAGTTTGAAAATTAAAATTGGAATGAGGCTCTTTAACATTCAAACCAAAACCGAAAATAAAGCCAGAGGATCACATTATAGATGTTATGTTACAACACATCATACTGTTTGGTGATAGCTAAACACTTTGGTAAAAGAGCAACACTGCCCTGTGTACTGGGAGTTTGATTCCCCCACTGCTTGCACTTGCTTGTATGTACAGCAGAAAGTCAAAGTACTTCACTAATCACTACTTGTGCTCTTAGAGTGCCTTTATTTTTTATTTTTGCATGGAGCAGTATTTAGTGCACACCACTTATTGAGAGATATGCTTATGGAGATTCTGAGTTGTAAATTAAATTGATATAATAATAGCGTACATTTTCATTTATTTATGTTTGATGAACTTATAAAAGTGCGATTAGATAATATTTTAGATTATTTAATAAACCATGTTTAAATTATTTTAAATATGCAGAATATAATTAAATTTACATATTCATATTTATATATATTATTATATATATTTATATATATACAGATTAACCATTCCTACCGATCACTTACCGACTCAATTAATGACTCATTACTCCAACACCCAACTGGGTCGTGATACCGGGGTCGGGATTAATAATGAATTGCAGTGTTCATCATCTTCTTTTTCAAACCTTCCTCTCTCTCCCCCCTTTTATGAGAAAAGAAAATAAAGCCACACACCAAGCACATATAATTATTTTATGGGAAAAGTGTGTATAATTTTGAAGGATGTAAAGTTGTGTCATTTTAAGAGAGAGAAAGAGATAGATAAAGGAGGAGAGAGAGTTGACAAAAAAAATAAAGTTGTGGGTCCCACCTCTTTGTGAGAGTGAAAGGATGTAAGTTGTGTAATTTAAATGTATAGACACTTTTCCCTTATTTTATTATTCTAAATGTGAAACCAACAAAGCCATTTGGATATTATTTTTTATTTTATATTAATTAATTATATCAGCAATTTCGGTTGTCTTTTCTTTTCCCTTGTTATGGAGTTTTGCAGAAGAATGGGCAAGCATGCGTGTTTTAGTGGGCTCTGTTTCAGCTGCAAACACGCACTGACTGTTCTACCATCAATATATTAACAGAACTTATTTTTAAAAAGCAGGTAAGTTCGAAAACTAGTTTTTAAAAATTTATAGTTGAGTTCAATTTGTTAGTTCTTTTGTACACCCCTAATCACAATGATTAGAAAATTCACACTAGACAAAACTATTGATTATTGAAATGATAGATGGAATAAGACAAATAAGAGTCGATGCACTACGAAAGGAAAGAACTCACTAACAGATGGGTAAAGAGAAGTAGTTCAAGAAGAAGAAGGAGACTGTGAAAAAGGACATAATTCTCACTATAAATCCTATCAATTAGTCTTGAACCTTCCTTCATCTGAGTCATCAACTGTTCGCAGGCCTTCTGCAACAGATTCATCTTATACAACTTTTATTAAGCATTCAACATTTTGCAGAACATAGAGTTTACTCCATCAATTGCTCTGGCTTTAGGATTCAATACATTAACAGTTTAACACACATATGAGATACACTTGCTTTTCAGGATGATTGAAAAGTACAAAACAAATATGTTGAATGATCCATTTTACAGTATAACTTAAACTATTTACCCAAAATGCAAAGATATTTCAAGAAGTGGATGATTCAGATGCTGGTCTAGTAGGAGAAGAAAGCGTAGGTCTTGGTGGAATTTCCAGGGAATTCATGTTGCCTTCCAACATATCTATCACTCTACTAATTGTAGGTCTATCATTTGGAAACGTTTGAGTGCACCATAAACCCACTACAGTCAATCTTTTTGTTATCTCATTTTCTTCTGTTGTCATCACCTCATCTGGTCTCAAACCTCTGCCCTGCTCAAGTCTGTCATATACCCAGTGTGGGAAGTATATCTCACTACTCTGATTGGCTTCAGCATTAATGTTCTTCGTCGCTCCCACCATTTCTAGCAGCAGCATTCCATAGCTATAAACATCAGACTTATGAGAAACTCCTCCAAAATGTCTATTCCACATTTCTGGAGCTACATACCCAATTGTCCCTCTAGCGTCTGACATGGAAATAATGCTCTCTTTCTTGGGACAGAGCTTTGCTAGCCCAAAATCTGATATCTTGGGGCAGAAATCCTCATCCAAAAGGATATTATGTGGTTTTATATCAAAATGCAAAATTCTAGTATTGCATCCCCTATGCAAGTACTCCAGCCCTCGAGCAATCCCTACGGCAATTTGATACAACTTCTCCCAGCTCAAAGATGCAATGGTTTCATGTCCCTTTCTGTGAATGAACTTTTCAAGGGAACCATTGGACATAAACTCATAGATGAGAGCCTTCTTTCGGCCTTCCAAACAAAATCCAAGAAGGGCGACAACATTGACATGAGAAGTTCTACTAATACTGGCAACCTCATTGATGAAGTCATCATTGTTTCCTTTGGATGACCTCAGTATCTTTGCAGCCACAGGACAACCACTAAATAGTTGTCCTTTGTATACAGCACCAAAACCACCTTGTCCTAGTTTATTTTTGAAAGAGTCAGTCATTTTCTTGATATTTGAGAATTTGTATCTTTTGAGAGTTGGGGCTCCGTGATTTTTTAAGAATTCTTCAATATCTTTGTTACCTTTTGTGGTCAACCAAAATTTTCCACGCCAAGATGTAGACTTGCATACTAAACAAAAAATAGTGATACATATCAACAATCCTGCTACCACTCCGCCAATAATACCTGTTAGCAGACAGAGTCAATGAATTAGTGGTTAAGAAACATTGGATGTATTTTTATTTCCACAGCCTAAGATGTAATTATGTTTTAGATGAAAAATACAGCAAAAATGGCTATACCTACGATCCAAGCAGGGGACAGGGAAGAACCATTTGCTGTTTTAGATGGACTTCCACTCGGTGCATCACCGGAACCCGATGATGGACTAGTTCCATTGCCTCCATCTCCAGGAAGACCAAGCAAAACATTACCTGCAGCAATGAACTTCACCTTAGCTGAGAAATTGGGAACCTCTCCGGATAGGTTGTTATTAGACACATCCAGAACCTCAAGTTGAGGCAAAGTTGTCAAGCTCCAAGGTATTGAACCAACCAAATTATTATCATTGAGAAACAAGTTCCTTAGATCCGTTAAATTGGCAAATGCAGGTGAAATGGTTCCGGTCAAATTCTGCTTTGCTAAATTCACCGTAGTGATATTCCCTCCTTCACACACAATGAAGCTCCAATCTTGACAAGTTTTGTTCCCTTTCCAGGCACTAGCCAACTGAAGGGGATACCCAAAATCTGCAGCAACATCAAGCAAAGTGGTGGCAATGGGATCACAAGGCACACCAGGATTTGATTGACAAAAGCTATTGTTCCCATCAAGAGTGACCACACCTTGCCCAAACACAGGAACAGGACCCTGCAGCATGTTGTTGTCCAAAGAAACGAAACCTAAGCTAGAGAGAGCCATCAAAGAAGGTGGAACCACACCAGTTAACAAATTGTCCTTAAGCTGAAGATCAAACAAGTTGGTACAATTTGAATAATCCGGAATTGGACCCGTGAACTGGTTCTCCATAAGCCACACCCGAGACAAGGAGGTCATGGAAGAAAGCACGTAAATTGAACCCGAGAAGCCAAACTCATTTCTCTGATTATTGAGCCACAAATTCTTAATCCCAGATCCCGCGAAGGATTTGGGCAAACTACCAGTGAAGTTGTTGTAAGAGATATCAAGGCCCTGCAAACTGACAAAGGAATCGAACACATCGGGCAAGGAACCCATGATGTTTGAGTTTCCGAGGTCGAGTTGGACGAGGTCAATTGACTGAGTCAACTCGGCGGGAAACGTCCAGGGTACGAGGTTGATGTTGTAGGTTAAACTTAGGTTCTGCAAGCTGGTTAGCCCTTGGAAGCAACCGTCAGGGATGGAGGTGAAGTTGTTGCCGTCGAGGTACACTGTTATGAGCATGGTGAGGTTCGCCAAGGAGGGTAACGAACCGGAGAGAGAGTTTCCCTGGAGAGAGAGGTCTGTGAGTTGGGAGAGTGAGTTCAGATCGGAAGGGAGTGTTCCAGTAAGTAACTCGGAAGCCAGATGGATAGTGGTCACCCGGTTTGAACTGTCACACTTCACGCCGTTCCAGCTGCAAAATGCGGTGGTCGCCGACCACCCTCTTGGGCTGATTGCTTTTTCCAGCTTCGACATGAACACACCATCGTCGGCGACGACGACGGCAGTGGAGAGGAGAGAGAACAACAGCAGAAGCGTAGAGAGAGAGACAAGGCTTTTCGATTTTAATTTGGGGCCAGCCATTCACATGACAAATTATGGTGTAGCGTTCGTTCAAATGAAAGACAAATTATAGTGTATGCCACAATCTATGTCCGTAGCAAAGTGTTCATGGCAAATTATCTTAAACAGCTAGCATCTCAATCCCCTCCGGATAACTCGGGTCCTATGAACTTTAGAGTCCAAATCCTTTACACACGTCATGTATCATTAATTAGAGAATTGAACGGTGAAGATGGCAGTATATATTCGATTTCTTTAAATATCATATTTGAAAGGATTTAAATTTTTAATCTCGAAATTCATCCTCAATCTCTCCAATATTGTATTTGAGAGGAATTTAAATACTAATATCAAAATCCTTCCCAAATCAAACTAATCCACGATGGATTTGAATATCTAATTTTTTTTTTTCCAAATACTTATTTGGGTTTTATATTTATCATGTAACATGATATAATATCATTTTCTTACACACACATTAAAGATATGGGGTCCACATATTTTTCTTTCTCTTTCATCATTTCACTTTCTCTCTTCATTTTTTTGTATGTGTTAGAAACAACACTTAAATCATGTAACATAACACTAATAAAACCCTACTTATTTATGTATCCCTATTATTCACTTGTTACTTGTTGAGTTGACTTCAGCGCTCAAACGGAGGATTCCATCAACTACCCCCGGCAAAAAAAAATTCAAAAACATAACACCAGTATCGCTACCTAGTTCCATGAAAAGTTTGAATTAAAAATAATAATAATAATATATACAAATGTATATTTGTATATATTTTTATTATTTTATATGGGAAATCATAGTCTTATGTAACAGGAAAATCGATCTCTTATGCAATAGATACATGTTTTTTGAAGTGGGTCCCACTATATAATAAAATAAAATAAAAAAATTATTAACACAGTTTCCCATGGATGTGCAGGAAAATTTGGTATCTTCTGTGGCTGAAGAAAATATAGCCCCATTTTATATTCATATAGTTTTTATAAGTTATAATTAATCTCATCTCATTTTTAGACGTTTGCGTTATAATTTTGGGAAATGTTCAAAAATTTCCTATTATTTTGCGTTTATATATATATATATATATATATATATATATATATATATATATATATATTTACAGCCACTTTAGATAAGGTTATCTATAGTTATTCCAAAAATTACGTCGTTTTGATTAATGAAGGGCGTTTCTGTAATCTTATGTGAATTAATCGTAATTTTATCTATTTTTTTATCATATATACTTTATATATATTTCTACAGCCACTTTAGATAAGGTTTTATTTTTTTCTATTTATTTTTGTCTTCGGTCTATTTTCTTCTTTTTGATTTAGACTATTTACATTTTTTTGTACTTTTAGTTTTGTATGTTACTATTATAAGTATCTAATATATTTGATCTTATTTTTTCTTTATTTTGTTGTTCTAGGTTTATTTTTTTCTTTTTGATTTAGACATATTTCATCTTCTTTGTAATTGTAGTTAATTTTTAACACATTGGTCTTATTATTTCTTCTATTTTTTTCTTTTTTGTAGTTAATTTCTTTTTTTCTAAGAAGAGTTAAATAAGAAAATCAATTAAGTTTCTAACAGTATTAAGGATGTATTCGGATGGGAAAAAACCATTGGCAATAAGTAATTTAGAAAAAATAAAGAAATAAATGATTCAAAGAAAAATCATAATGGAGATTTATAAACTATTCCCTATAATTTTTATGGATTTAAAGAGACAAAATTATATAATACACACATATAAAATTGTGTGACCCTCCTGTAGAGCGAAGAAAAGAGATAAAGAGAAAGAGAAAATATAGACTCTAAATATGTGTAAAAGATAATTTTATTTCTTACAATATGAAAAACTTTAAACCCAATTATTTTTTTTTATAATTATGGGAAATATAGTTTCTCATGTTGTGTAAGATAATTTTTGTCTCATATAGATAAAAAAAATGGATTGGTAATTGCACAAAAAAAAAAAGGAGAAGAGAGACAAAGAAAATAAGTGGTTTCACATATTTTTTTATATATGAGACAACCATACGAGAAACTATATTTTCATAATTATAACATATTTTGCAAATGATAAGGAATGCACTTCCACAGTTATACTTAGTTTTTCTAGTAATTGCATGGTTATAACTTTTAGAGTAAAGTCTCTTTTGCGTATCTAACAAAAAAACACGATTTTCACTTTCGTCCCTTAAAAAAATTCATATTAGTCATTTTTTATGGACTAAATTTGGTCTTCATTGAATTTTTGAGGGACCACATTTTCTAAGAACTAAAATTGTATGGGGACCAAAAGTTGACTTTATTTTTGTAAGGGACAAAAATGGAGACTGTATTTTTTTGTCAGAGACTCAAAAGAGACTTTACTCTAACTTTTAAGTAACGATTGGTCGATGATTATCTGATTATAATAGAATCTCTTCCGTATTATTTAAAATAAAATGAAAAACTAGGTATTAGTAGCTTGAAAATGAATTGTAGAGGAAAATTGGAGGAAAGGGAGCACATAAATAAATAATTAAATTTTTACTAAAAATAATAATAAAAATAATTAAATAAAATCATTTCATTAATAGCGAAGAACAAATTTCATTGTCTTTTTTCTGAATATCAAGTATGTTGGTACTGGATAAAAAAACGGCAACTCCAACAATTTCTTTGTCCCCAACGTCGCTCAATTTTCCAGAATTAGTCACTTCAACAGTCTCAAAATCTCATAAGGTGGTGTTTGGTTGAGAGCTTTTCAGCGGATATCTATATTTATCAAGTATGGCTTTTAGAAACACTATGTTTGTTTCAACGTATTTTCACCAAAAACCCATCTATCCAATTTGTATGGATTTATGAGAAACATAGATATCCGTACTGTTTAGAAACTCAATTTGAAAGTGAGATTTTTCGAAAAACCGGTTATCTAGCTTTTAATGCACTGTTGATTTCATAAAGTTACCTAATTTTCCCAGTAAAGTTTTTCCCCATCAAACAACTTTTTTTTTATATTTTTCTACCTATCTCACTTTATCTATCTTTCCAATCATTTCTCTATCTATTACATTTCCCTACTATTCCAAAAAAATTTCCTCAACCAAACGCCCCCTAAAAAATCAAGGATAAACATAGATATATATATCTATACATATGTCTAGTACATATGTACTAAAATACTATTTTATTTGTGAATATCTCTATCACAAACGAAAGTTGTGAATACGTTCAAAGATATTTATTATTATTATTTTTTGAGTAAATATTTTTTTCGATCCTCAGCAAATTTTACGATACATGCTTTAGTCACTAACAAATAAAAATGTTATTCGTGGTCCCTAGGAAATTTAAAGTGGACCCATTTCAGTCCTTTTGAGGGACGAATATGGATCTTTTTTAAATTTGTGAGGGACCACGATTTCAACTAAATGAGTTCATTTTAAATTTTTAGGGACCACAAATAGCCTTTTTATTTGTTAGGGACTAAAGTGGGTATCATAAAATTTGCTGAGGACCAAAAAAATATATTTATTTTTTAACTATAGGTATCACCGTATCATTCATTAAAAAGGGAGCGATACAGAGCAATGATAAAAAAATTACCTTCACCTTACACTTTCTAGTTGAGTTTAGGGAAAAGTGATTTATAGATATCATTCATGAAAGATATTATATTTGAGCCAAAATATTTTTATTATAGTGAAATGAGCTCTTTTAAAGAAGATTTTTTGTATTGACCAGAACTTGAACACAAGCGAAATCAGATACCACTTGAACTACCCTTTTGATTTAACCCCTTTGTTCTATATTCTAATCAAAATGAAGCGTTATGATTCTATTCATAAAATAAAAATAAAATGAAACCAAATGACTAAGGCAACCAACCAATAAGTGAATAAGGCACTGCTTTACGGGGGACCATTAAAGACTTGGAATAATAATCTGTCAAGTCCTCTACCTTTTCTCCCTTCCGATACGCTCACGTAGTGGACACGTTACTTATGGTATTACGGAGGAAAATTTCTTTGGTACTAAAGATGCTCCGTAAATTTGATGCATCTTTCATTTATATTGTGACACATGTTTTATATTTATTAAATCAATAATAAATAATTAATTTTAAAATTAAAAAATAAAATAATTTGATATAAAATAAAACACGTGTCATAATATAAATAGAAGATACACCAAATTTTCGATTCATCTCTAATATCAAATATATTCTCCTTACGGAGGCCACCTTGTTACAGCTAATAATATAGTATAAAGCAGCTAAGAAACCTTGATCAGAGTTATTAAAGTCAACTCGGACATCGAGGTGTTCGGTATATTAAGTTATTGGATTATTGATCATTGGGTTATTTATTATATATAAAAATATATAAAAATATGAAGATATAAATTTAATTATATTTTCTATATCTAAAATATATTAAATAAGTTAAAAAATTATTCAATTACACTTTTATAAATTCTTAAAAAACAAATAAATAAAAATGTACATTATTATTATGTAAACTTAATTTGCAACTCAAAATTATCATAGTATACATCTCAAAAATGTACACTTTTATATTTTGTAGTAAATTTCAGCTCAATAAAGAGATAAATTGGAGAGATCAAGTAGAGTTGCTTTGAATTTCTGAATCACTCAAGATCTTATCAAATCTTCGTTCAATATTTTTAAGGAAAGTTTTCCATTGAATAAAAAGGGGAAAATTTGAAAGATTAAATCAAAGATATGATTAGAGATTCTAGTGAAGATTCTATTGAAGATATGATGGAAAATTAAAATATATGATTTTTATCCCTATAAAAAGGCATCTTTTGGAAACTCAAGACACAATTCGACAAAGGCAACAATATTTATAGGAGGAGACTCACGTCGGAGATCAGGATTCCGGAAAACTTGAAGATTGAATACCATTTTTCTTTATCTTCATCTTCTTCTTTTTCTTTGTTATGAATTCTTTTTATTTTAATTTGTTTAAGTCAGACATGAATAT